CTTAAAAAATTGAAATCTGGAGATTTATTAAAAAACTTTTCAAAAGGAGTTAAGTTATTTAAAATTGGTGTGGGTAAGCGATTGACAATATAAGTAGCTGTATATAGAGCATCGACCCAAAAATTAGAAGGAATGGAGGATTCAATAAGCATAGTTCTAGTTAGTTCAAGAAGATGTCTATGTTTGCGCTCAGCTACTCCATTTTGAGCCGGGGTTTCCGGACAGGATTTTCTAAATAAAATGCCTGATTTTAAAAAATGATTATTAACAATGGAATTGTCAAATTCACCACCACCGTCACTTTGAAAAATTTTAATTTTCCTATCAAAAAGATTTTCAACTAGATTTTGAAAATTACAAAAATGAGTAAATACCTCAGACTTACGCCGCATCGGATAGATCCAAGTATAACGGGAGTAATCATCAATAAAAGAGACATAGTATTTAAAGCCCAAATTGGATAAAACTGGAGATTGCCAAACATCAGAGTGAATAATTTCTAAAGGTGCAATACAAGAATGAGTAACATCTTGAAAAGGAAGTCTGTGGGATTTACCCAACTTACAAGAAACACAACTATGATTAAAACTACTACAAGCAGAAATTAAATTATTTTGCCGAAGTCTGTGTAAAACTTTATCACCACAATGCCCCAACCGTTTGTGCCAAGTGGTCGCAGAAACAAGGGTAGCTTGAAGAGCATGGAAAGGATAGAGATGGTCTTTATTGGAAGCCCGAAGAAGATGCACCCCCGTCTGATTGTCCTTAATAGAAAAGGAATTTTTATTAAAAATCACCGTACAATCATTATCCGCACACAACTTATGAATAGATAACAAATTATATTTTAAGTGTGGGACATGATAAACGGAGTTTAAAGATAGCGGGCGGCCAGGAGTAAAAAATTTAACACTACCAACATTAGAGATAGGTAAGTTGGTACCATTTGCAACTTGCACAGAATTTGAGCCGGTGTAAGGAGATTTACAAGAGAGGATACCTTCGTGAGGGGTCATATGAGCGGAAGCACCTGAATCAGGGTACCACACAGCAGCATTTGTTTCACCCGAGGGAAGAGCTGCCAAAGCTGGAGTAGATGTACCAACGAACCGAGGACAAGTAATAGCAGAGTGACCTGGAGAGAAACATATCTGACAAACAACTGGTGGTGGAGGATTTGGATAATTATTATCCACAGATGGAAAACCTGCACGGACATTATTAGTACCACAATAAAATAAATGATTTACGTATGAATTACTAGGCAATTTATTACCATATGCTGAACCTGGATTCCTGGAATGAAAATTTTCACGTCGTGCACCATTCCCATGTTGTCCATGCACTTGAAAATGTTGCGGAAGAGGAAGCAGTGGCGGCTGTTGTCCGCCATGGACCTGCTGCCCACCATAATTGTGTTGTGGTGGTCCACCATAGCCACGTCCGCGGCCACGTTGTCCACGACCTCGACCCCCTCGGTAACCACGCCCTCCTTGCTGCCCGCCTTGTGGCCGACCTCCCTGACCGCGCGGTGCACCCCCTCGGTTGAGAGCAGCGGCAAAAGCTTGATGAGATGGGGAGGGATCTTGAGAGCGGAGATACAAATTACGTTGCTCTTGGGCAACGAGAATAGGACCCAGTTTCTCAAGTGTAAGATCCCCCGGAATATAATTAATAATCGTGATTAATGATTCATAATCGGGACCCAATCCAAGGATAGTATATTCCAATAAATCATGATTACTAACCGGGGAATTTATGGCAGTGAGGGCATCAACAAGTAATTTAATTTCAAGCAGATATTGATCAATAGTTTGAGATTCTTTCTTCTTAATGTGAGACAAGAGGCGCTTAAGTTCCATTGATCGAGCACGACAGGAAGACATAAAACGGGTCTCAAGGCTTTCCCAAATACGAGCAGAGAACTTATGATGATAAACTTCCATTAAAATTTCTCGCGATAAGGTAGCAAATAACCATGAACGCACAGTCTGATCTATCTTAAGCCAGTGATGATATTCAGGATTAGGACTCTCACGTCGAGTAATATCCTGAATGAAGGATGGCGGAGCCGAAATTGAGCCATCTAAAATCCCAAGAAGACTATGGGAAACTAGAAAAGACTCAAATTGAGTCCGCCATGGGAGGTAATCCTCAACAGCATTTAATTTAGTAGTAACGATATTCGTTACATTGGGTGTGGAAAACGCTAATTGACTGGCCAGGGATGCTAAATAAGATGAAGGGGAGAAACCTGGATGCTGTGAAAACTGATGTTGCATAGGAGCCGTGCCAGGCTGGCCAGTGAGAGTAGAGCCGGCAAAAACAGGTGGCGGAGGCAGTTGCTGATCCGAGACAGAGAGAAGACCAGTTGAAGGTGCCGCAGGGGAGAAAACAGAAGTGGAAGCTGTCGGCGTAGTGTTCCACGCAAAAGGCTCCGGCATGTGGAACATTCTGTAGGAGGATAAAGGTGGTGGTAGAGAAACTCCTGGTGTGGAACGTGGTCGGGCAAGTATCGGCGAAGACAACTCGGTAGAGACAAACTGATCTGGAGCAAAGTTGGGCGCCGTGGTGGAGGAGAGAACAGCGGTAGCAGAGTGTGCTGCAGGGGGAGAGGGCTGCACCATGTGAGTGATGGGCGCCGGTACTGTAGCTGTCGAAGAAGAAGCTGCTGCGGAGGATTGAGCCATGCAAAAAGAAAAGAAAAAAAACGACGCTAACTCCTAAGGGAACCAAGGGGCTCTGATACCATATGCAAAGAGTAATTGTGGAATAACAGTTCACCCTAATAGGGTGTAGTGATGTTATATTTATAATAAACGGAGAATATTAAAATTACAAAATATATCCCAATATTATATATTATTAAATTAGTCGTAGGGTCATGGCCCATGGCCATGGGTTTGTTGTCAGCCGTTCTGAGCAGGATTGAACAACCGAACAGTGAAAATAAGGGCAAAATTGGAAGTATACACTTTTACCCGCATTTCTTAGTATCCGTGCCCAAACTCTATGTTGCATTTGAATCCGAACGGAGGAAGTATATGCTAAATTTGTATTTTTTATGTCTAATCTATTTATTTATATCCTGAAGAGGAAGAGTAAAGAAACATACAAAGTGTGTGTGTGTGTGTGTGTATATATATATATATATATATATATATATTTGTATACATATGTATATATATTACAAGTTGTTCAGTGTTCGGTTCGGTTTACGTTTTTTCGGTTTTAAACCAAACCAAACCCTTCGGTTTGAGTAAATTGCTACCAAACGGTTTACATACGCAAACTCAAATCAAACCAAACCACCAATTTTCCGTTCAGTTTGATTCGGTTTGGTCAAACCATTTTGCCCATCCCTAGTGTCGAGAGTTGAATGTTAGCTGATTATATCAATTGCTTTGATTAGTCGATACTATTAACGGGCTAACGGCTTATAAAATAGTGTTTGTTTAGATGATCAGTTGATAAATTGTCAAATGATTTTTAAGGGCATCAATAACTTTTTTTTATTTACTAACTACTTTTATATACGTATCACATACTAGTATTCCGTACATTTCAACCATATTGTTAATACAAGAACTTACATATTTCTGTTTAAAGAGTATTTTTTTGTAATACAATTTATTAGACTAGAATTATTTATGTATTTTATCATTATACTCTTCTAATATAAATAGACCTGTCAGGGCTCCTTAGTGGGCAACCTGTTCCATTTTCTCACGATCATAGGCCAAAACCTTTTTTTCTCCTTCTCCCTATCAACCTGTTGCCGCCATGTCAACAATACCCGTTGTTGCCATGACATATGTCTCGATGGCCTCCACCATCTCGACGAGCGCGGTCTCCGACATCACCACCAGTGTCGGCTCTTTCGGCGCCCCTTTGTTTTCGGGTTCGCAACCTCCTTTTTCAATGGCTGGCTATCCTCTCACGACGTCTGCTGCCTTGTCTTCTGTTGCGTCGTCGTTTGCCTCACCATCCAGGAGTGCTCCAGCGCACTATTCTCTCTTCAACAACATGCCGCCAATTTTTTCGTGGCCTGAACCATCACTGGTCCAGACAGTGCCCCTGGATCCCCCACCTTTGTCTGTTGCCTCCTTTTTTGGTCCAACGTTCATTGGCTCGCCTGGCGTATCGTCGTCCTTCGCAACTCCACGGCATGGTTTGGTCTCTGTGGTTGCGTCTCATATGGCTGACCTTGCTCACAGTTTGTCACACGTCTCCACCCATGTCACCAACATCGCCGCCACCAAATTATTGGTTGTTGAAGACTACTTCACATGGCGGACCCAGTTCGAGTCCTTTTTTGTCTCACAGGGTGATCTTCTGGCCTTCTGGGCATGGTTGATCGATCCATTCAGGTACCCTGATCGGTTTGAACTTGCAAGTATACAAGTGCCGATATAGTAATAAAATACCGGTAAATACCAGGTCGATCCACAGGGAAATGGTTGATATTATAAAGTCGAGTATTGAATGCAATGAATGTAAATGGTATAGTTTTTGAGGAACTTTGTTCTTTGAGATTGGTTTAAACAAGAATGAAAATTACTAAGGCAATCGAGATTCACCTAAATGCTTTAATAGTTATTTAATAATAGTTCTTTCCCAATAATCATGAATACGATGTCACTAATATATTCTCAACTCCGGTTAAGGCAGCGAGAGCGTGGTTTTTGTTACGTGTAAGTCCCGTTACGGCTTACATTCATCTACCAAAAACCCCGTTGAATATCAAGACATCACACCCGTATCATATAAGACCGGATATATTTCTATTCTCGGTACTATATATGTTTATCCTTTAATGTTCATAGTTTAGACTTCAACGTTAATTGCAAGCATAAACTAAATTTAACATACTTCTATGTTGTACACCATAGTCATAAACAATCAAAATATAAAGGATAAATCACAATTTATTGGTTTAGAACTTTTATCAAACACATAGTATGCATAGAGGTTCATCCCTAGCCTTAGCTAAGAAATTAGCCTCTAATGCTCATATTAATCACAATACAATATTGAAATGTAATGGAACATGAAACTACAAAGAAAATTGTAACACCCCCAAATTTCCCACCCAAAAATAATACTTTATTCAAAAGAAATATCAACTTTATTTGAAAAACATCAGAGTTATGCAGCGAAAACCAAAAGGGAAATAGGGGCGTTACCGCCACACTCGGCTCTCCCCTAACCGAGTGCACAGGCTAAAACAACTTAACTCCAAAAACAGATATTCACTAACTAAATTAAAGATATTGAAAAATTGAATTACAATGATTTACTAATTAGGTGTTCTAGCGGAATCTCTCTCGAATCAACATCGTCATCAAATAGATACTCAAGCTTTATCTCCTGCACAAATAAGGTGCAGAAAAAGAAAGAAAAACAAGAAACAAAAATTAGCCGGAAATGCTAAGTAAGTCCCACCCAACCCCGTAAAATAATCACGTTTGATACATATATATAATTTTTGCAAAACATTTGGGAGGAAAATCTTTTCAAAACATTCATACCAATCATAAGTAAAACAATATTTATAATAAATCCTCATAACATAATTCACATGTAAAATAATAATATTCCAAATCATAATAATTCCAACATTAGAAAATGTAATAAAAACTCTCATAAATATTCCAAAGCATATATCATATACACAACTCCAAATATCCATCTCAAAACTCACTTAATCACTTTATCACAATCCTTACAAAACACATTATCAATATCCACAAATATGTTTTCCAAACCAATATCACCAGTATTTGTACTTAAGAAATTCACAATTAATAAAATACCAAAACATTTGATTTACCTCAAAATAGCTTTATAGCTAATTCTCCTAGTTCATTTAGAAGGGCGGTGCTCAAGCGTTATCTCGATTCTTGAGCCCAGTGATCCGTTGTTTTGTACGGTCACTCCGATCTGCTCTCGGTACCACATCTCCTCTATTAGAATCTAGACTTCTACCTTAAGTGTGCACACCCCCTAAAGGGATTCCAAGCCCTCCGAGTAGTATGAAGTCTAAGTAGTTCTGACGTCAACGTCTCCCTACTCCAAATGGGATATACTCCCTAAGTTCTAGGTTCAAAGACCCTTAAGAGAATAGGTACTACTACTACTGCTCTAATAAAAAGGGATCTGATGCCCAGTTGTTCGGGGTGGTTACCGAACCCTCCAAAATTAATTTGTTTCATACCTCTTGATTCAAGTAGTAGTAGTCCTAACCCTCCCTCACCTTTAACGGACGTGAAGGTGGCCCGACACCTACGGATTTCTCCCGTGGTGCCCCAATTATGAAATCAATCTTTTATCTTGTCTTTCCAAAAATCAATATTTATGTCTTATAGACATTAGTGTCACCATTAAAAATATTAACTTTTCTTTGTTTTCTCAAAATCCAATCAAAAGTTCGTATCTTTCAAAATACGCTAAAATTCCATATATTTTCTCAAAATCCAATTTACTCACAACACCACCAAAATATTCACCATTAGAAAATCTCCCAAAAATCATATACAATAACTTGTATCAAAATCCAATAATAACAAACCAATATATCAAGTACAAACAACTTCATATAGAATAACATTTACCCAAATTTAATACACATAAATACATTACTCAAATTGTACATTAAAACATTCAAAATAATTACGAGGTAAAAGGTATAATTTTGGTTGCAATGAAACTTACCTCAATCGTGATAATTCCTAACCAAAGCTTCTATCTCGATCTCTTCCAAATTCACCTTCTAAGAATATTAAAATTTTATGATTAATAGCTATACTGTTTATTTTTATTTTATTCAATCCAGCACTTATAACACTTTATTATTTGTCCAAAGTTAACATTCTTAAACGGTCCAGATTAAATTCGTTTAAAAGAAATCAGCTCATACGAACTCAGCCCAAAACAGAAGATATACGAAGTATGAGGCTACGTACGTATTCGTTCGTCGTCGTCCTCGCAGGCTCGCAGCAACGCAGGTGTGCGCAGAGTTGATCGCCAGCGGTTTCTCTTCGATCACTCCTCCATTGTCAACAGCAGCAGTCGGCGGCACGGTCCAGCAACGCAGATCGGCGGCTCTTCTTTCTCCGCAGTCCGGCAACAGTTCCCGGCTTCTTCCCTTTTCCGGCGTGAATCAGTCCGGCGAGCTTAGCAGCTCCGGGGTTCGTTTCTGCTCCGGCGAGCCTCGTTCTTCTCCTCTCTTCTGGCGACACAGGCAGGGAAATTCACTGATGATTTTGTACTTTCTACGCGGGAAGCTTAGCCGAGGTTTTCTAGGCTGACGGGTTCATGCATATTTGTTTGTATGCGGCTAGGGTTTATGGGTTGAAAATCGTTCGTATATATACACTTATATTCACCCGAAGGTTCTCGATCGCCGTTATATGCGTTATGAAGATCTTTTGCCTTTAATACGAAGGTGCGCCATAGGAAAGTCGCCCCTCTGTTTCCGATGTAAGCGTTATGCGTGCATATATAGACTTACTAGTAATGCATAACAGGTTAGGAAAAGTCAAAACTTCCTTATATGATAGAATGTGCGTGTGTATAGGTTGTAGTACATATTTTATTACGGAGTAATTATATAAAAATAATGTGTAGGGCATTTTGGTTTATCACATATTAAGTGTAACTTTTCTAAAATGTACACATTAAAAGACATTAGTTAAAATATCATTTTTTTTTATTTGAGTCAATAAAATTATTTGATCAAAATTTGTAAATTTTTTTAAAGTATTTTTGAGTGTCACAAAAATAATACCTAAACACCAATGATTTCGGAGGTTGAAGTTTCCTCCTCAAGAACTTGAAGAAAATACCAAGAACAAAGATATAAAAGCTAAGAATTAATCTATGGAATGTGATGTTATTGCTTGATGAATTGAGGGCTTTATATAGGCTAAAGAATGACATCTTTTAGTCTATTCGAGCCCAACAATCAGGTATGGAGCAATATTTGATCAAGAGATGAGGAAGGTGAAGTTTTCCCATCAAAAATCCTCTTGCACGTTGCTGTGTTTTAGCAGAAAATCGTCCCAACCGGCCCCGGTCAGTCTAGAACCGGCCCCGGTTGCAAACAGGCTCGTTTAGTGCGAAAATACCTTCCAACCGGCGCCGGTTCTTGGCTGACCGGTGCCGGTTGCAGCGCCCAAAAATGTACTTCGTCTTTCCTCCTCCGAAATGGATAAAAAAGTGTCGATTTTTGTACCGGAATTTTGGGAATGTTCCGCTATGAATTTGGACATGATTCCTTCACCAAAGTTGTAAATAATGAAGTCTTCTATCCACCAAAACTTGAATGACGTGATTTTATTCATCCAATCAAACGTTATGGCTAAAACACTGAGAGGTATGCATCCTGAAATCCCACCAGCAACATCTGACTTTGTTGGTTGATTGAGTCTTGTTCCTTTCATATTTTGGCCATGACGTCTTCATAACATTTGTACCTTATTGAGTTAACATTCAAATGAAATTTGAGTCGAGTGATTTCGAGTTCTCTACAATACGTTATACTCAAATTATGGGCAGAACGTCATCCTCTAGGTCTAAAAAACCGTTCATCACAATGTTTTATGCCTTAGCTCTCATTCTGAAGGTATTTGTCCGATTTCTCTTCTTTTCTTCAACAAATACTTATAAATACTTATGTTAAACACAAGTAAATATAACGTCTATCATACCCCATGTTTATTTCATAGATCTGCATAATCGTCAAATCCCTAATCCCGAATACTCATCATGGTTGCGTATTGATCAAACTATTTGCTCATGGTTATTTGCTACTTTGTCACGAGATGTGCTTATTGATGATCATGATTTGAAACATTCTTATGGAATTTGGGAATGATTGGAATCTAGATTTATGTCTGCTAGTCTAGCTAAATCTATGGAATTAAAACACATGATGTCTGGTGTTAAGAAGAAGCCTGGTCAGTTTATGGACAATAATTCGAGGGAAATGAAAATTTTGGTGGATGCTCTCGCTTCAATTAATTGTCTTTGTCACTCGGCTTGGTTTAATAAAATCTACTATTATGGGATTGGGGTCGGATTATGAGTCCATGATTACTACGGTTTCCTTGTTTCCACAAAATTTCCCGTTTGAGAGGCTTCAGACCCACCTTATTGAGCAAGAGCAAAGAATCCGATATTTTCGCCAGCATGATCTTTCATTTTCCCATTAGGCTTTTGGAGCTCAGATACGGTCGCAGTGGAAACAACGTCCTCCCACTTATATTCCCCATGGCCGAGGGGGTCGTGGTCGCGGTGGACGCAAACGTGGGGGTCGCGGTCATGGCCCATAGCAGCACCAGCAGGGATCCACGCCTCAAGCCTTAGGCAATATTGGCGCCAGTGGATTTCAAGATGGAACTTGTCCACTGAATGGGTATGGTACACATGCAGGGGGTGGACAGCCTACAGGTGCTGTTATTAGTAATTCTGCTTTGACCCATTTGACACATTTAAATATTAATGTTATACATGTCTTTGTTATTAACTCTGGAACTGCAGGCTTTCCATTAGATGAGGGTATTCTAGGATCTGTTCCTCACCCTATCGTGTGTCAAATTTGTTTCTGTACAGGGCATTCTGCAATTGCATGTCCTTCTCGACTTACACAACCACCTGCACCAACTCTGCTGACTACATGACTGCCTCTGAAGGTACTTTGATTAATAAATCTTCTTACTCTGGCTCTACTTCCATTAGTGTTTTCAATGGTGATCAGTAACTTATTTGTCGTGTTGGTGATGTGTCCTCACCCTCCTCTAGTCGTTCCCTATTGCTAATTTTTGTTTATCATATGTGCCTGAATTAAATTTCATTTAATCTCTATTAAAAAATTGTGTGCTGATAACAATTATGTTGTAATTTTTGATAAAAATCGTTTTTTTTAAAGGACAAACTCTCGGGGTAGTGCTTCCACAAGCTACCAATAGTGGGTCACCCTATCCTATTCGTCTGCCATCTCCTCTAGCTTTAGCATCTATTTCGGCATCGGGCCCTGTTTGGCATCATAGACTAGGTCATTGCGGTGACAAAATTTTGAATTTTCTTAGAAGTAATGAACTCTTATGTAATAGTTCTAGTTTCTCTCATGATGGTGTTTCTCGTCGATTAGGAAAATCACAATGTTTGCTCTTCTCAAATGTTAGTCATAATTATACTTTGCCTTTACAAATAATTCATTCAGATGTGTGGCAATCTCCAGTTATTTTAAATTTGGGGTTTTAGTATTATGTCTCTTTTATTGATGATTATTCATGTTTTACTTGGATTTATCATATGTGCAGCAAGAGTGAAGTTTTCCATCACCTTAAAAAAATTAAACTTTTAGTTGAAAATCTATTTAATGGGAAAATTAAAATTTTCAGCGTGATAGAGGGGGTGAATTTGTTAATCGTGATATGCAACAATTTTTTAATTCTCAGGGAATTTATTTTCAAAAAGCTTGTCCTGACAAGCCTTAACAAAATGGGGTTGCTGAGCACAAGCATCGCCATCCTCTAGAATTTACTCATACTATGCTCTTAGAAGCTTCGGTACTGAGTCAATTTTGGGTTGATGCACTTTTACTGCTGCATACATTATTAACAGATTATCAGCTCCATTGTTAACTGACATTTTTCCATTTCAAAAACTTTTTCACTGATCCCATGATTGCTCTTTTATGTGTGTTTTTGGTCTGCGTGCTATCCTAATTTTCCTGCCACTTCTACTAATAAACTTTATCCCGCTCTATGCAATTTGTTTTCCTTGACTATGCATCTGGTTATAAAGGTTATCGTTGTTTTGATTCTACTACTAGTAGACATTTTAAGTTCCATGAACATATTTACCCTTTCAAAGCATTAAGGGAGTCATCTATCTCCCTGTCTGAACCACCCTCCCAGTTTCCCACTGCCCCATTTTCTAGCGCCATAGCAGCTTCCTCGCCACCCACCTATTCTTCTGTGCGCATAGGGTCATCTTCTTGTCTTGTAGCGCGGTCTAGAAGCCCCTCCTCAAGAACATGTCCATTGTCCCCACCTCCACCATTAGCCGAAACCACAACCTCACCTTTTGGTGAATTATCCAACCCAGCCTCGTCACATATAGTTTCCCCGCCGCAGACACCCTCATCAGCTTCCTACCAACAAACGTTGGTCACCACCTCACCCTCGCTCGATGTCACTACCCCCTCTGTGTCATATGTCGCAGCGGCATAATCCCCACTGTCCCCACCTGCCCGATCTCAACCCCCTACGGTAGCAAATGCACACCCCATGCAGACACGTGCCAGGGATGAAATTTTTAAATCAAAAACAATTTTTAATTTAAACACAGTTGTTGTTGCCCCTAATCCATCTTGTTTTTCTAAGACTAAATAAAAGGTTTCTAATTTTAATCAAATGTGTATATGCGTCAGCCCCGTGGTTTTATCCATTCTTAGTTTCCTAATAATATGTGTCGCTTGTGTAAGGCTATTTATGGTCCTAGACAGGCACTGCTGGCATGGTTTCATAGGTTTAATAGTTTTCTACTTCAACATCATTTTTCTTGCAGCAAGTATGATAACTCTTTATTTATTTATCGCCACAATAATTCTACCATTTATTTACTATTGTATGTAGATGATATTATTATTACTGGTAATTACGTGACTGTTGTTAATCATTTTATCTCCCTTATTTTCTCGTCACTTTGCTATGAAGGACCTGGGTAATTTGCATTATTTCTTGAGCATAAAGGTTATTTGTACCTCTACAGGGTTATTTCCGTATCAACAAAAACATGTTAGGTCTGTTCACATCCCTTTAGCGTCTCGCACTACTATGACCCTCACTGATGGCGAGTTACTGTCAGACTCAACTGAGTACCACATCATGGTAGATGTGTTGCAATATTTAATTTTGATCCGACCTGATATTACTTTTGAAGTACAATTAGTGTCCCAGTTTATGCATGCTCCCCGTACTACTCAACTTCTTGCAGTCAAACGTACTTTCAGGTTCTTGGAGGGCACTCTTGATCACGGACTATGACTTTAGACTTCTGTTACGCCAACATGTGTTTTGGCTTATTTAGATGCATATTGGGCTAGGTGTCCAGATAGCTCTCGTTCTACATCTGGGTTTGCAGTGTTCTTGGGTCCCAATCCGGTATCATGGAAGTCTAAAAAGCATCCTACTGTGTTGACGTGCACTTTGTCGTGAGGTGCACTCAAAGTAATAATACAATACAACACAAATACGTAGTATAGTGAAGTAAGGTTCGTATCCACAGGGAAAGGAATTCTTTTCTTCTTACAAGAATAAATAAGTAACAATAAGGGGGGTTTATATTTGGTTGAAGAACTTTAAATTATATTTAAACACGAAGATGAACGAGTTATGTGATTTAATTAATGAGAAGAAGACTTGGCTTTGCTTTTATC